ATGGCCGACGTCGACGTCATCGATCTGATGAGGTTCATTAGAGAATCAAAATGGCGGAATAATGAAGCCTGATGGTCAAGTTTTGGTACCCACACAAGGCCTAAGTGAATCCGATACGATAGATCGTTAGCCACCTCAACCTAACTTAACTAGAATTGAACTGATTTGCATTTTACCACTATGTAAATAGTTTGTCTTACATCAATTGCCCAAGTATTTTTCACATGGCGATTGTACGACTGTACATCAGCTATATACTAGTTGTATACTAGTTAATTTAGCCGTGTTGAATTTTTAATTCACCACAATAATTTTTTTTTTTTTTTAATTTTAAGCGAGTGAGTTTTGAACCGTCACTTGGAGAAGCTCTAACCACATGACTATCATGAAGATGTAACTGCTGGCGTGTAGAAGTAGCGGATAACTTCGACTATCTTGGAACCAGTATTCACACAAACAACAACGTCTGCCTGGAAATTCAACGCCGAATAACACTTGCCAACTGCTGCTACTTTGGACTGAGTAGACAATTGAAAAGTTAACTCCTCTCTCGACGAATGAAGACCAAACTCTACAAGTCGCTTATCGTTCCCGTTCTGCAATATGGTGCGAAAGCTTGGACGATGATAACATCTAATGAGCTGGCGTTAGGAGTCTTCGAAAGAAAGGTTTTGTGTAAGATTTATGGTCCTCTACGAGTTGGCAGGGGCGAATACGGCAGACGATGGAACAATGAGCTGTATGAGAAAACCAGCGACATTGACATAGTTCAGCGTGTCAAGAAACAGTGGCTACGCTGACTATGTCATGTGGCTCGGATGGATCAAAATACTTCAACTTTGAAAGTTTTCGATGCAGTACCCGCCGGTGGAGTAGAGGAAGATCTCCCCTCCGTTGGAACGACCAGGTAGTGAAGGACGTGGCTCTGCTGGTTCATTTCCAATTGGCGCCAAGCAGCGAAAAGAAGAAATGAATGGTGCAATGTTAGCTTACCAGTCGGCCTCGTCTCTGCAGGGTATGTACATATGTATGTATGTGCGAGTATCTTACAGACTTACGGTTACCTACAATACGTGTATATATGTAATACATATGTAAACTTGGTAACCAATTGAATTTAGAGCGACGCGTCGTTAAAAATTGGAGTAAATGTGCTAAAATAAAACAACAACAACAGCAGCAATAAATGAAACAGGAAAATGATTAAAAATGTTTTAAAATTAGTTTACGGCTTGTTTCGTGCAGATAGGCACAAGAGCAAACAACAAACTAAAACAAAAGACAAAAAACATAACCACAAAAAAAGGTCACAAAAGCACCGTTAAATACGAGTGTCAATTTAAAATGGATCAACGAATCAAACTCATCGATAACATAGCAAAGTATTTAGAACATTATACATATCCACTTACATGCACACATATGTACATACATACGAACACATTTTGGTTGCCGCCGCACTCTAACGTATGGCCGGTCCATCGCGTACGTTGCTACAGTTGTATGTATGTACAAATTGGTTTAAATGTCGCTCGTAAAATTTTTAAATGAAAAAAAGATTCCATTTCTTTGCTTTTCGAATTTCTTTTTTCTATCTGTTACTCTGATGGCGATTGTAAAAATTAATTTAGGTGATAAATACTACATAAACATATGTACGAGAGGATTAACAAAACTTGGGTCAGTGGGGGACTTTCAATTTGTTTTTGTTAAATCTAAAATTAACAAATCCTTTGCAGTCACTGTATTACTCTTCCTTCCAAATTTTAGTACGATCGGCTTAAATTAAGACAAAACGCTACATAGCTGAGAATATGTCAGCCGTATTTCCACCACCAACCCAAACAGAATTTCACCATGTAATTCTCCTCGGGTTTCGGCATAATTTATAGCCGAATACAAATATTCAGTGAATGCCAAATCGCATATGCAACGATTGCAACGTCTTTAAGAACTATTTCTAAATGATTCGGAAGATTCCAGACCGGACGTTTTTTTGTAGAGCACAAGGACCGAGAAGGTCGACCAAAATCTTCTACTGATCACGGCACTGCAACTCTGGTGAAGTCCAAAATTGACGAAAACCAACGATTGACAGAAGAAATGATTGCTAAATAATTGGGTTTAATGTTGTTTTTGTTGTTGTGGCGGTTCGCTAACCCCGCTTAGGTACAGATTTGATCAATCTAAGTCGTCGAGGTCGTATAGTGGGAGGTCCAGGATACGAGCTGTGTGATTAGACCAAAGCGGGGTTAGATGAATTGGTTCAAGAGGGCATGTGAAGAGATGGTTAGTGTCGTGCGAAAACTCTCCACATGCAGGGCATACGTTGCATATGCTGGGGTCGAGTCTGGATAAGTAGGCGTTCAACCTGATTCAGTACCCAGACCTAAGTTGTGCAGAATTGGGCTTGCGTGCGTTATCTTCTGAGAAACACGAAGAAATTCGCTCGATGGGTACCACGAATTTTAAATGAGACCCAAAAAGACGCTCGAGTGCATTTTATTCAATTTTTCCTAAACAAATTCGAAAAAGGTCTGCCTAGCAAACTTTGGTAAAGTCGTTACTGGTGACGAATCTTGGTTCTATAAGTACGATTCAGAAATTAAACAGCAGTCCATGATATGGAGCCCATTAGAAACATACCCACCCCTAAAATCTAAGCAAAAAAAAAATGAGCAGCAAAAGTAATGATGTCAGTTTACTTCACCCCATCTAAAATCGTAGCTGCAATTCCACTAGGAAAGGGTCAGATGGTAACTGCAAAATGGTACACAGAAGAGTGTTTTCCAAAAGTTTTGAAAATTTTGTTGGAAAATTGGAAAAAAGAGCTTTTGCGGCGCTTCTTTTACATCATGACAACGCACCAACCCCCGCTGCGAAATAACGAGTAATTACATTGCAATCTTGTGATCGAAGAAATACGACCAGCACTTTATTGCCCGAGTAAAGCACCGTTTGATTTCTGGTTATCTCCCAGAATTAAAAAAAAAATGTTAAAGCAAAAGTGTTTAATATCAACGAGGAGAACATTATTGCGGTTAATGCTGAACTTGATGAGCTTAAAAAGCAAGATTTTGGAGACTGTTTTCAGTAGTGGATCTATAGGCACAAGAAATGCATTGACATCAATGACGACTATGTAGGAGATAAAAAAGGATAAAAATTACGCACAAACACGAAAAGAATTTTTTTTCTAGTCAACTTACCAGACTTTTGTTATTTCCCTCGTAAATGTATGAATCCTCAGTTTTTAAAGAAATTTAATTACATGTAATATATTATTAGCATATTCTTATAACCATTCTCATCGATCAGTATCTGGGTAAATATTAGCTGTAAGCCTTCCACATCTGAAAAAATTGTTGCTAATGCTATAGTAACAATAATTTTGTATTGCTCTGGAAAAGCACCAGCCGTGGGTGTTGTGCGTTATTTTTCTTCCACTGAAGTTCTCCTGCGCCCTTTTGTACATAACTGCTCCACTGTACTGCGTGGCAGAAATTGTGGACGATCCGACAAGTAAAAAGTTCGCTCGGTATTTATCTAAGAGATGGCGTTATTGTCCATAGTACTAATGTGACGTGTCGCATCATGTCATACGATACGGCGCTGAAAACGTGCTTATTCGCGCTAAGAGTTTGTCTTGGACAGTTTTTCGATTGATTGACTCAGCACATTGTGAGCGCCCGCCAAAGATGGACACCAGCACAGAGAAAATTCGCTATATTTTACAATTTTTCTTCGATCAAGGCGAAAAGCTGCCAAAGTGGCTGAAAAAATTCATTTAGTTTATAGGTCCGATACTGTAAACGAACGTGTAGCACAAAAGTGGTTTGCTAAGTTCCGTTCCAGTAATTTCGATGTCGAAAAGGCACCACGTCTCGTCGAAAGTTGCCATAAAATCATGGAAATATTAGGAGCAAACCATAACGTGAGCACTTAGTTAACTGCTGGGGAACTAAAGATAATCCAGAAAACCATTTGGAACCATTTGCACAACCTTAGATTCAAAAAGAAGCTCGATGTTTGGGTGCCACACGAACTAACGCCAAAAAACCTGATGGACCGAATTTCCATCTGCGAATCGCTGGTGAATCGCAACAAAAACCAACCCGTTTCTGAAGCGGATTGTGACTGGCGATGAAAAATGGGTTACTTACGACAATGTCGAGCGCAAACGGTCGGAGTCAAAGCTCGGGGAAGCAGCCCAGACGTTGGCCAAAACCAGATTGACGGCTGTGTGTTTGGTGGGATTGGCAAGGAATCACCTACTACGAGCTGCTCTCCTATGGCCAAATGCTCAATTCGGCTCTCTACTGCCAACAAATGGACCGATTGAAGGCAGCACTCATCCAGAAGAGACCATCTTTGATCAAAAGAGGCCGAATTGTGTTCCATCAGAGCAACGCCAGGCCACACATGTCTTTGGTGAAGCCCTAGAAGATCCAGGAGCTCGGATGGGAGGTCCTAATGCACGCACCTTATAGTCCGGACTTGGCACCAAGTGATTACCATCTTTTCCTGTTCCTGGCGAACGCGCTTAATAGTGAGAAGTTGGCCTCAAGAGAGGCCTGTGAAAATTGGCTCTCCGAGTTTTTTGCCAATAGGGACGCTGCCTTCTGCGAGAGGTGTATAATGAAGTTGACATCTCGTTATCAACAATTTTACAAACAACTTTAATCGGACAAATGTGCACAAAATTATCACATTTTGAAAAAATCAATAAAAAAAAACCGAATGAACTTTTTACTTGACCTAATATAATTCACACAAGCCAGAAAATCAGTTCCATTTAAGAGAACTCGACTCTTGGAAATACCACAAATATATTACTTTAGAGACTCATGCTTATCGTGCAAATTATATATAAACAAGAACCAAACAAAAGCACACGCAGCTCCAGCTTATGAAATAATCAAGCTCCCCTAGCGCTTATCAGTAAACTGCCTTCGACTACGCAAAATACATTTCAAAAGCTCAGTCGCACAGAAGTCTGCTTAGTAAAAGGAACGTTAAATAAATTTAATAAAAATAATTTACATTAAATATTTTGTTCAACTGGACAACGAAATGACGCCTCTCCGCCTGCTCCTCGTATGCGGTCTACTTGCCGCCGCACCACTTTCGCTGGACGCCGCACTGCTCACTTGCAACATTCAACTGGTGAATGGTGAGATCAAGAAGGTTTGCCGTCAACTCAAGTGTCCCGTTAGCTGCACGAATGGCGTCTGCAGCATGCAGTTACAGCGCTGCATTTGCAATGAGGGTTATGAATTTGTGAATGGACTATGTGTACCCGTTTGTGAGCCGGCGTGTCAGGATAATTGGCACTGCACTGCGCCGAACATCTGTCGATGCGAAGATGGCTATGTCCTGCTGGACAATCAATGTCAAGCGCTATGTAGACCAGCCTGCGCCGAGTCACAGTACTGTGTTGCGCCAAATACTTGCGCCTGTTTAGACGGTTACCGCAATACAACAACGACCAGTGACGGCTGCGAGCCCATTTGCCCGGAGGGCTGTGGCGAACATAGTCGCTGTAAGGCACCAAATCAATGCGTGTGCGATGAGGGCTACGCTCTACAGGCGGATGGTAAATGTGGACCCGTTTGTGAACCCGAATTATGTGCGCATGCCGATTGCATTGAACCTTATAAGTGTATTTGTCATGCTGGTTATTATCTTCACTTTGAGTCGGGCGTTTGTAAACCGCTAACTACAGATATGCCAGTAACGGGTGATGACGATATGTCACAGCTAATCGATGTGCGTTTTGGTGGCGACCCGTAATTGGAAATTTAAATCAAATAAGCATATTTTATATTATTTCTGTAATAAAAATTTAATATCTCATAACATAAAAAAAGTCTGTTTCACATATTAGCTAAATTGATCTTAGACCCTAAAATGGTGACGCCGCACAGTGAAAAAAATTCATAGGAAAACATAAATATGGTTAACAACGATTTTCTACAATTTTTATTTATTTAAGGTTCAACTTTTATTTAAAATACACGTATATTAACTGCTTCTTCATCTTCGCCTTCATCATCATCATCAACTTCTTTATTATTGCCACTCTCCATCCCGATCATCTCAAAGACCTCTTCCGGTAAATCCTACAACTTTTTTTGTAGTAATTTTCTTCTGTTGTATACAACGGGAAAAGTTGTTCCGTTATGAAGACGTCCAAATAGCAATCACTGATAAGGTGCATGCATCAGCTACTTTGAAGGCGATTGGAATTTACGTGTGCTCTGCCCAATCCATAAAAAAGGGAACCAAGAAAGATCTGAATTTGGTATCCCCGCAAAACGTATACGGCTGTATACTGACCGTAGACAACGCTAAAAGCATCGTCAGAATCGGCAAAGACCTCTCCGAACCGATCGATACCAATTAAGGTTTCAAACAGGGTGATTCCGCATCATGTGACTTCTTTAATTTATTGCTGGAGAAAATAATACGAACTGCAGAACTGGATAGAGAGTGTACAGCTGCTGTCGTACGCCGACGATATTGATATTATTGACTTCAACAACCGCGCCGTTAGTTCTACTTTTTCCAGACTCGATAAGGAACAGAAGCAAATGGGTCTGGTAGTGAATGTGGGCAAGACGAAATATCTCCTGTCGTCAAATAAACAGTCATCGCATTCGCGACTCTGTTACCACGCCACTGTTGACAGTCATAACTTTGAAATCGTAGAGGATTTCGTCTATCTAGGAACCGGCATCAACACCAATAATAACATCAGCCTTGAAATCCAGCGCAGAATCACTATTGCCAACAGGTGCTACTTTGCACTGAGCAGGCAAATACAAAGTAAAGTCCTCTCCCGACAAACGAAAACCAAATTCCATAGGTCGCTCATCATACCCGTTCTACCATATATTACGATATCGATATCTGATGAGCCGGCCGTAGGAGTCTTTAATAGGAAAGTTTTGAGAATGATTTATGGTTCTTTACACATTGGCAACGGCGAATACAGCAGACGATGGAACGATGAGCTGTACGAGTTATAGGATGATATTGACATAGTCCAACGAATGAAGAGGCAGCGCCTACGCTGGGTCCAACTTTGAAAGTATTCGATGCAATACCCGCTAGTGGAAGCAAATGAAGAGGAAGACCTCCACTTCGTTGAAAAGATCATGGTATTTTCAACCGGCGCCAGACAGAAAAAAAGAAGAGAGGAATGGCACGCTATAATTGATTCGGCTATAATCGCATAAGCGGTTTCAACACCAATAAGAAAGAAGAAGAAGGAGAAGAATAGTTTCTTGTTTACTGTGCGTGCTTGTAATTTTTTTACACACAATTTACAGACATTCAAAGAGCCTAATCCTCCCGTGAAGAACCGATAGACCAAATTTGTAAGTTTTCTATATTTACATCTTTCTTCACTATTTGCCTGATTTTTCCCCCAAGTCAAGGAAGGGTCCTCTTAACTTCTTTACCTTCTTAAGGTAGAACCGAAACTTTTTTCAACTATATGTCTGTATATAAAGTCGAAACCCCCAAAGTTTAAAAATAAAATACTTAGAAACACGTAACAAGCAAACGGAATTACTTTAAATTTACTAAATTATCCGAACAAGAAGGTTCCATTACCCCATTATGCGACCTGATTTATGGCCAACCCTCTGTGCTACTTCGAAAAGAAAAGGAAGAGCCTTTTTGGTGTTTGGTATGCTGGAGCTATGCTGGAACTAAGTACTAAGGGGAGATGTTAGATCGGCCTACCTAGGTGGTTAGATTAGACTACTGCCCGAAAGGTCTAGGCTTCGATCCCAAATTGCGCTGCGTGCGGAATATTCATGCACTATCATAAGATCTAATACATCTAATATCACGTTTCATTTTTATGTTCGAAGCTTTTTTTCTCTTTGAAACTACTTATATCCGATGTGGTACACTTCTAAACTTTCTTCCACTAGACTTCTATAGCGAACTTTATGCAAACTCTAATACAATTATACTGAACGCAACGCTATCTCGGAGAGATCAGTGTGTAAATCACGCCGGATCCTTTCTTCCATGCAAATTTGGGAATAGATGTACTATACAACCTCTTACTTCTGTTTGGGTAAGTTCGTCTCGACAAGTACTCCTAAGACCAGCGAGAGGGAAGTTTTAAATGTCAAGTGCCAAATGTGGCTGTAAAATGTAGAATCATTATCAATAGAATCTCCAGAAAATAAATCACGCCTATGCTTTGGGTGCTGGGACAACTGCAGTAGGTGGAAGTATATTTTGACCCACAAGAAAGCACTATAAGAAAGGTTTTTTTTACCGAGCTGACTGGTCTCCATAAGTCTTTGATAACTACGGTACTTTCTTCCGTATTGGGAATTCGCAAATTATCACTAGTTCTCTGAGCAACCCTGCTGCCACAAAAATATTGATATTCTTGCGTCATACAGGGTTTTGTCGCCTCCAAAGCAAAAATCACCGTAAAAAAATGTTTAGAATTTATCAACTTGACGCGTGCCTTTCGCACTCGCCAACAATGGAGCTACAAAAACAATTTCCTCTAGTTGCACACTCAGTACAGTACAAATATTTTTTATCTTTCATTTGAAAAAGAAAAGAAACAAAAACACCGAAACAAAGAAACAAAGAAAATTTAATTTAAAACATATAAATGTTCCCACATATACATATTTATGCAGGGTTATCCATTTTAAAATTTCGAAAATAAACTTAAGTAATGTAATGTTTTCGAAATGTGAGCTGTAGCTCCACAAAAAAAAGGTGCAATGGTGTCGAATTGCACGATCGTGGTTACCAATTAATATCGCCAAAACGAGAGATTACGCCGCCGGGAAATTTCTCTCGCATTAAAGCCACATTCAGTCGTATTGTGTCACTCCGAATTGACAGTGATAGTCCACCCGTTGTCGTTTTCAAAGAAGTAAGGTCCAATCGCACCTCCTAAACAGAAAAAAAGTAAGTTTTTTTTAGTTGTAATAGCCTCTCTTCGATTATTTGAGACTTCTTGGAGCCCCAAATGCAACCATTTTGTTATTTACATATTCTCCAAGAGAGAAATGTGCGTCGTCGCTGAAAAAACTTTTCTTCGAAAAATCACTGCCCACTGCTTGTTCTTGAAGCACCCAATCGAGGTATATACGGCGTTGGGAATATTCAATTGGCTTCAGTTGTAGTGTAAACTGGACATTAAATAGATTTAGATGTAAGTCCAAGTGTAAGTGTATTTAGAACCTCGAAACACTCTCTGCTCTTCGGCTACACTTTCACTTGCTCGTAGCGATATTTGAGATCGAACGAACATAACAATGAAGCGCATGCCTTACAATGTCTATAGACAAATCAATTCAAATTGCTTTAAAATTTTACCAATTGCTTGAGTAGTTGCACGATTATGTGCAGCATAATTTCCTCTAAAAGCTCGAAATGAAACGGTGCCACTTGAATCGCTATGTTAGTGATACTGTGTTGTAAAGCGATTTCATAAATGTCTGAAAAAAACCTGTTTGACAGTTAAGTTTTACTGATATCAAAATTTCAGGGAGGAACTCTTAAACCACGAAATGAATAGCCCTATATATGTATATTCCCGTATGTAAACAAATGCGCTTTCTGTAAGCGAATACACGATATATTGTATTTTATCCCAAGTCTATTGGGGACCGTATGTATAAGTACTGGTTTTCATCTTTCTGAATTTCAGGGTTGCATTTTGGTATTTGGTATGATTTTATATGCTACCAAAAATTTTTAAAAATACTACATGTTGTTTTATATTAGGTGTACAACTTTGCTTCCGCCGTTTTTTTTTCCAATATTAAAAGCTTTATTGCGAAAAAGTGCTCACAGATATATTATGCAAATTATTGTCCTTCGCTAGCGACAACTTTCTCCCATCTTTCCGGCAATTTTCGGATCCCAGCTCGAAAAAAGGAGTCCTCTTTTGACGCTATCCATGAATTCTTCGAAGGATTGAAAATTTTGATCTGCCAGGCCGTGTGCCATCGAACGGAATAGGTCAGTCAGAAGGGGCGACATCTGGGGAATACGGCGGGTGGGGCAAGAATTCCCATTTCAGCGTTTCCAGGTACTTTTTGACCACTTTTGCGACGTGAGATTGAGCATTGTCGTGTTGGAGGATGACTTTGTCATGTCGCTCTTGATATTGTGACCGCTTTTCATTTAGCGCGCGACTAAGGCGCATCAGTTGTGTTCGGTAGCGATCTCCTGTGATGATTTCACCCGGTTTTAAGAGCTCGTAGTAAATCACACCGAGCTGATCCCACCAAATACAAATCATAACCTTGGCGGCGTGAATATTCGGTTTTGCCTTCGTTGAAACCACTCCCGACACGTTTTCTCACTCAGAGCATCATCACCGTAAGTTTCTGAGAGCATTCGATGCGCGTCAGCTGCATTTTTTCGAATTGTAACAGAAAAGTAAAACTTCCCGCAAATGCCGAGAATTAGGCACATAAACGGACATTTTCGAGCGTGAATAATACAAAAACAAGAACAACTGTCACTGAAACGGCGATGACAATTCGTTAGGCACTGTCCACACTCGCTTTAAAGGCATTATCATCTATGTATTTCAACCAGCCTCAGCCGCGACAGCCATCTATCGGAAAACGGCGGAAGCAAAGTTGTACACCTGATATGAGATTTTAAAATAAAGGAAAGTCAGTGCGGTATACAAGTTAATTTGTGATTTCAAATTGAAATTAGTCTCTTATTTGATTGATAAAATAATTGAGTTTTGATAATAAAAAATTGTGATTTAGCGATCCAGAGCTTCTCATTGAAATCCATCAGCTGTTAGGCGGTCACGACTCTTGTTGAAAAGAACATTTAGACACAGATCACAAATTGGAAAAAGAGCTGAGTCGCTTCTGCGGGTATAAAACGTCTTAAATAAATATGAAAATATTGCTCTTTTAACTACGACTTTTGAAAACTTCAAGTTTACGAAAAGGTTAACTTAACACGCTTGAAGAAATTAGAGAAATATTGATAACTTATTTCTAAAATGGAGAATTCACGACAACAAATGCATGAAAATTGTGCATTCGGGTGAAATAACTCGTTTCCCAAACAGTTGGTGGATTAATTTGTTCAGCAAGTTCGCCAAGCCCATCGTTATCGGACTAAACAACTGGCTGATCGGCTTCTAGTGCGTTCAGAAGAAAATGTAACTGCAGTAATTCGAAATTGCTCAAATTGCAATCAACACCAACTCGACGCTCTTTCCTAGAATTAAATATTTCCCGTATTTTTTTGCACCGAGAGCTTGATCGGGAAGTTCTTATGCATCCACCTTATAGTGCGGGCCTGTCACCAAGCGATTACCATCTGTTCCTCGTTCCATGGCGAACAATTTTGCTGGTGAAAAATTCGCTGCAAGAGAAGCTTGTGAAAATCGACTGTCTCTTTTTTTTTTGCCAATAGGAACGAGGGCTCTCTCATTGAAGCCATAATAAAATTACTTTTAAAGCGGCAACAAGTTAACGAACAAAATGGCGCGTATTTGACCTAAATCGGATCATTCTAACGATGGTAATTGAAGCCTCCAATTTCATTCAAAAATAATGGGTTTGTTTTTACTACACCAATATTAATATACTCACAGATACAGTCATTTATAATAGCGTAGGGAAATTTAATTCTCTGTCTTCTCAGCCGAACTTGTCTCTCCCTTGCTTTATATTATATATCTGTAAATATGTATAACTGAATGACTCAAACATTGTGACGCCTTCGGTGGCATCTACTCTCAATTATTAGAACAAACTCGATAATAAAATTTCTTTGCATCGCATAAAATAATTAAACTGAATCATTTTAGTTAATTGAAGTAATTCTCTGCGATTGGACATAAGAAAGCGGTGTTAAGTTGAGGAAAGTGGATTTTTCAAAATCTTCGATTCGAAACTCAAGATGAAAATCGTCATTATACAAATCGTTATTTACACCTTCCTCCTAATCAATATCAGTAAGGCTAAGGAACTCAACTGTAAAGTTCTAATGTTGAGAGGAAAACCTCAGAAGGTTTGCCAAACCTGTGACATGGGTTACGTGGCAACCAAGGATGGTTGTTCTCCAATTTGCGCCAAACGATGCGACACGAATGAACATTGCTCGGCTCCAAATGTCTGTAAGTGCAATATGGGATATACGAGAGATTTGAGAGGCAAGTGCTCTCCCATCTGCAACAAAACTTGCGATGAAGCCAGTTATTGCTCAAAGCCCGACGTGTGTGCCTGCCGGAAGGGTTATGTCGAAACAAACTACGGTTGCTCTCCAATTTGCGTACAACCTTGTGGTGAGAATGAGTACTGCGCTGGACCTGATAACTGTAGCTGCAATGCGGGTTATTCCAGAAATATTACAGGAAAATGTGTCCCGCTTTGTAATCCCGATTGCGATGAGACAAGTTATTGCTCAAAGCCCGACATGTGTGCCTGCCGTAAAGGTTACGCAGAAACCAACGTTGGCTGCTCTCCTATTTGCACGAACGTATGTGGTGAGAACGAATATTGCTCCGCTCCGAATAACTGTACCTGTAAAGATGGTTTCGCTAAGGATTTTAACGGAAAGTGCTCGCCCATTTGCGATCGAGCTTGCGACGAAGTCAGCTTTTGCTCGGCGCCCAATAAATGTACCTGTAAAACCGGGTATGAACGAACAAAAGATGTTTGCTCACCAATTTGCGCTCAAGCATGTGTTAACGGCCGTTGTGTTGCACCTAATAAATGCCTTTGCAATATGGGTTATCAGCATGTGAACGAACATGATTACAACTGTCAACCCGAATGTGATATTAATATTTGTGGTAATGCAACTTGTTCACAACCGAACGTTTGTGAGTGCCCCAAGGGATATGAGCGCATCAATGGTACCAGGGACTGTCTACCTGCATGTACGGCAGGTTGTGGGCCGTATGGTATTTGTGTAGAATCAGAGCGTTGTGATTGCGTTGAAGGTTACCGACGTAGTGGAGATCTGTGTGTACCCCAATGCAAACACGGCTGCGGGAATAACGAACGTTGCGTTCAACCGGATGTGTGCCAATGCATGGATGGTTACGAAAACAAACCTCTTCGGCACTACGATCATAGGTGTCAACCAATGTGCGAACCCTCGTGTCCGCTTAATGCTTACTGTGCCGCACCGAATGACTGCATCTGCTATGCCGGCTACACATTAGTGGACAGAGTTTGTGTACCGCGTTGCAAAGATCAGTGCGGCGCAGACAGTAGTTGTATTGCACCCAATCAATGCCATTGCAATAGGGGCTTCTTGGAACAAGACGGTAAATGTGTAAGTTCAGCGGAGTTGAGATCCTGCATGAAGGAGGTGCTCTTTATCAAAGTGCCTGTTTCCTGTGAAACCGGCTCATTTATTATATATCTAATATACGCTGGGCTTATTGGCATACTGTTATTATGTGGTTTTATCACCTATAAAAGTATTCTGCATTTACGTAGGAGATCTTCAAAAAGTTTTAGGCCGCCGCCAGAGAATTTTATAGTCACTTATCAACCTCGTAGCCGGGATGACGAAATTGGGGATGCAGATTGCGAAGTGGCGAGTCCAAGCTATAGTCAACCGCCTGCTTACAACTCGCTGACCAGAAAATGTTAAAAACTAATGACTAATATTCGTTTATTTTAGGAATGTAAAATATTATTATTACCAAAGTAGCTTTAATCATTCAACCTCACACTTAATGAAACCATTAAAAAAATAAAATTAATTATGAATAAAGTAAATTAAAACAAAATAAAATAAAATAAAATAATCTATACTGAAATTAATAAAATTAAATTAAAATAAATTGAGTAAAAGAAAACAAAATTAGACTGAAAAATTAAACTGAAATAAATGAAATTAAACAAAATAAAAAAAAATAAATAAAACAAAATAAAAAGAAATAAAACAAAAAAATTAATAAATTATAAAATTAAATTAAACCGAAATAAACTAAATACAATAAAATAAAATAAAATATATTAAGCCAAAAAAAAGTAAAATAACATAAGTAGATAAAAATTAATTGAAATAAAATTAAACAGTACAAGAAAATTAAAGAAAATAAGTGAAAAAAAAATTTAAAAAAAATAAAAAAAATCAATTAAAATAAAACCAAATATTATAAAACAAAAACAATATAAAATTAAGTAAGATTAAATTATTTAACTTTAAACTAAACAACAATAGCCAAAATAAACACAACAACATAAATTAAAGTAAATTAATTAGAATAAAAAATATATTAAAATGACTTAATAAAAAAAAATGAAATTAAATATAAAAAAAATTAAAGTTAATATAATATAAACGGAGAACACTAGGAATATTACAAAGTAAATTAATAAATTAATTATTTTAATTTTCTTCATATTTCTATATTTTCAATAACATGCCGAGTCATTTATATGTACGAGTAGGTATATAAATACATTTCAAAGATTTAAGCTTTGTTCCCATATTTGTTTTTGTGGAGTTTACTTATTGTGGAAGTATTCTTTTGTCACATCTGAATGCGTTCTGTTTTTTAAGAGTCAGAAGTCAGTGTAAGCACACACAAGCTTAAAACAGCTTCACACAGTGCCTTTTGAACTGTTTCGTATTATAATCCATAGATTTGCCAAACTCTTGACATTGCAGTTTTCCATTATTTAATTTAGACACCATTATTATGTATTTTTTTTCTTCCTTTACTCCTTTTATTATTATTTTTTGATTGCTTACTTACTTACCTACCGTAGAGATGCCAAGTAAAGCCAGATCCTTCTCTACCTGGTCTTTCCAACGGAATGGAGGTCTTCCTCTTTCTCTGCTTCCACCGCCGGGTAAGCCATCGAAAACTTTCAAAGCTGGAGTATTATTCCACCGGCTGTGATTATCGCCGTTGCCAACATAAATCTTACGCAAAATCTTTCTCTCGAAAACTCCTAACACCGACTCATCAGAATTATTATTGGTGTTGATGCTGGTTCCAAGATAGACGAAGTTATCTACGACTTTAAAGTTAGGACTGTCAACGGTGATATGAGAGCCGAGTCGCGAATGCGATGACTGTTTATGTGATGGCTGGGGATATTTCGTATTGCTCTCGCTCACTATCAGACCTATATCCTTCGCTTCCCTAGGCAGTCTAGAGAAAATAGAACTCACGGCGGAGAGGTCCTTCCCTATCCTGACGGAACTTTTGGTGTTACTTAAGGTTGCAAGTATACCAAAGGCAGCTTCTATTTGTACTGCCGAAGGCGGCTTTAAAATCGACGAAGAGGTGGTGTGTGTGTCGATACTCTTTTCACGGGTCTTTTCCAACATTTGACGCATAGTAAATATCTAATCAATGGTTGAGTTACCAGGTCTGAAGCCACACTGATAAGGTCCATTCAGTTTATTGACGGTGGGCTTTATTATATGCGATATTAAGGAGGCTTATCCCACGGTAGTTGGTGCAGACTGTGGGGCTCCCTTTTTATGGATTGGGCAGAGCACACGTAAATTCCAATCGCCGGGCATGCTTTCATCCGACCATATTCTGCAAAGTAGCTGATGCAAGCATCTTGTTAGTTCTTCAGCGCCATATTTAAATAGCTCTGCCGGTAAGGCTGTCAGCTTCCGCTGCTTTTTGTCTTTTAAGCGAGCTATTGAAATTCCAACTTCTTCATGGTCAGATAATGCAACGTCTTCTCCATCGTCATCCGTTGAAGTTTTCGATTTCACCATCTCCGGGTGTTCCATTTTCACTGCCATTCATCTGGCTGGAGAAGTGTTCCCTCCATAAATTTAATATATTCTGGGCATCGGCTTGCTAGATCACCTCTTTGTGTCCTACAAAAGTCTGCTCCGGTTTTGAAACCTTCTGTAAGCTGTCGTATCTTTTCATAGAATTTTCGGGCATTACACTTGTCGGCCAGCATCTCAAGCTGCTCGAACTCACTCATCTCGACCTCTTTATTTTTTGTTTGCGGTTACGTCTTGCTTGCCTCTTTAATTCTCGGTGTCTATCCCCGCTCGCACGTGTTGTGGTCGATCACAAGGTTGTGAGGTGGGCAGTCTGTCCTCTGCGACACGGCAGTCCACAACGTACCAGCTGTTTTTGCGATCTTTTCGAAAACCAATAGTTTCGCTTACAACTGTACGTAGGGAGCTTATAACATCGTCCTACAGTTCCCTTACATCGGACTACTAATCAGTGCTCCCAGAGAGCAGGAGTGAAAGTCGAGTCGAAAACCGATCGGCAGTCTGTTGTGATTGCAGCTTCTCAACGTCTAGCTTTCTTTGTTTTTGTTGACAATTTTCACACTGCTGATTTAATAAGAAATGCAGTTATGAAAATTGTTTAATTAAAGGTGAGTTTGAATCCGATGATTCTACGGCAAATGGAGCCTTAAATTTAATGCAAAAATAATGGATTTCTTTTTACTATGCCAATATACATCGATAAACATACCAAGGGAACTAATTTACTAATTACTAGTTCAGGGAATCATGGGCATTGACCTCAGAAAAAGTCTCATTCCTTTCATACTTACAAACATATATCGAAAATGCACTAAGCGCAAGCCTTCTTATTGGCTTAATGAACTTGTGTAGTATCATATTTTAAAATATATGTATGTGCATACATTTGTATATGTGTGTAAGTGCATTGCCACAGGCATAATATTACAATAATAATAATCTGTAAATTAAACATTATTTTTATTGCAATATTTTCCTTAGAGTTTCGCATGACTTCCAGCGATAAATCAATATTCAACTCAATAAGAAAAAACCTCTCGTAAGTCCAGCGAAGGTCATCACAATGCGTTGCCTTCGTCTTTGGCTTTGTCTTTGCCTCTCAGTTAACAGTAATAAATCGCCAGACACAGCATCATTCTTTAAGCCCCTGGATCGCCTGCTGTTTTACGGACTAATATTTTCTTTGTGGCATAATATTATGAATATACGAGAATTTATTTATTATTAAATCTCTGCGTTCAAGTCCACCCACACAGCAAAAAATTCAAGCATAAATTTAAGAATTTTTTTTTTATTATATAAAAGTCGTAAAATAAATCAGTAAATTGAATTGCTAATAATAATCTCGTAGTTAAGTCAATAGATAAACACATATGTCTCTACATATGTATGTACATACACGTTTGTATGCATATTAACAAATAAAATAGTAATTTTATTAACACATGATCACGCGATCACTATCAAAGCATTAGACGTGGTGGCGCCGCCAAAATTATTTTTATTGGCAACAAATTGCAAAATAATATTAAAATTCATTGCATACATAAGTGAGAAGTATTTTTATATAAATAAAGTCATAAGCTCATGGGAATTCATTTCTTATTCTTATATTACATATACTTGTACATACACTCACGTACCTGATATGCGCTGAAAAATTAAGAATAAAAACTTTATTTAGATATGTGTGACTTACCGCCACAATAAGCAACAATTTCAAACATATTTACATATCGAGCATACATACCTACATGCAGTTGTGTTACCTGCCTCCATGTGCAACCTCAACAATACCCGCCGCTATGTGCGCTTGAGCGCCTGCGCACATATTCAACCGCACCGCCAATGCGCCGGGCACGCGCCACAATCCGGTTCAAGCAACGAATGTCATGCCAACAATTTCACTGTCTTGTCATTATAAATTGCCACCTCAGCGTTTTGTAGCTGCGGCGCCAACAGTTGCCGGGAATCAAACGCCCACGCTCTGTCGACGGCCGACAAGCGTATAAGGTTTTTTGCTTAATTTTTATTTTTTCTTTTTTTTTTCTTTTTACTAAGGCAGTTCAGCTGTGGTTGTTGTTGTCATGTGGAAAAAAATTTATTTATTTGAAATAATTTTTTTTTTTGCTGCTCGCATAAGATGCAGCTTAATTGAGTGGCAAATCTGACGTGTATACAAGATTACAGCACTTTTTATAAAGATGTAAAAATCTTCATTTACGGTAAAGTGGCTGCTGTTGAGTTTGTATGTTAGTCTGTCACTCTGTTTGCTGATGAGGATGTTGATGTCGACGATGTTGATGATATGTATTTGTCAACAATTTTACACGGTTTATGGGTGTTAATGGGCGGATTAAGTGATGGCATCTACAACAATTTCCATGTGGCGCCTGACAGCTGCAATAGAGCGCGAGTTAGCTTCGATGGGAGTGCTTAGTGCTGGGTATCCCTTTCTCTTTATCATATATGGTAGGCACATGATATGATACCACCCCGCTCAGATTCATTCCAATGGCTTAATAGATCACAGGAGAAGAAAAGGCGCAGGCTCTGCATCGTACCACCTGCCAATCTCACACAATGTGACTAAGGCAAGCGTCTCATTTGGCCAACCTTTTTTTCAGAACTCAAGTCTCATTTCAAAATTGCTACTTACCCAATTTTACTTCCATTTTCCTGAGAGAAAAGAGTGTGGAGCCGTACTTGTATTGGAAGTTCAATTTATTTCGGTCCGGTTTTAGTGTTCAAAAAAAGTATTTATTTATTAAAAAAAAATTAAATTAAAACTATCGTTCCAAGTATTGTCCGCTGGCAGCGAGAACTTCTTATCATCCCTCTTGTTATTTTTGAAAACCAAATCTATAAAACAACTTCTCTCTATACTCGATCTAATTTCATCAAAAGACCCGAACCGGTGACCACTCAAATCGTTTTGTATCCGTCGAAAAATCCAGTAGTCGGCAGGGGCAAGGTCTGTCATCCCTGCGGATTAGGGATTCAATA